CTGTCAGGTAGGCCCGTACTGTCACACTGTTTAAGAGCAGGAGGCTAATAGAGATTACGTACATGTTGACCTGTCTTTCTGGGATTGCTCTGTGACATTCGTGGTGTTTCTCCTCACCCAGTGAGGGCAACCTGCTGCTGCTCAATGAGGCGCTGGCAAAGCATGAGACCTTCTTCATCCGCTGTGGCATCTTCCTTATCCTGGAGAAGCTGAAAATCATCACTTACAGGAACCTCTTCAAGAAAGTGTGAGTGCCTGGGCAAAATGCTATCCCGCAAGCATGTGGGCCGGAGCCTGAACCCCAGAGTCATGTCCAGGCTGGAGGCGTGCAGGCCAAATTAGGTGTGAAAACAGCAGAGACAAGGAGAGCCTCTTTCAGCAAGGTGGAAGGCAAGGACTGGCAGCTGAGATTGTTCTCTGAACTCTGTATACGTACCTGCATTCTTACAAATATACACCCTACACACCGTACACACACACATACACACACATACACACACACATATACGCATACACACATACACACACACACATATACGCATACACACATACACACACACATACACACACACATACACACATACACACACAGCAAAAAAGAAAGCAGGCTGCCTTGCAAAGGGCTCCGGTGGGCAGTTGATGCAGCCCAGTGTAGCCTATGGGGACAGCATCCTGACCCTCTTGGGACAGAGGCTGACCTGAAGGCCGTGTAGTGACATAGCTTGGCAACAGAGTCAGCATGAGCTCGGGGTGCCAGACACCTCCTGCCTGTCCATGCTGTGGAACCATTGTCCTCTTCCCTTTGCTGCCATGGCAGCTGGCTTATCCTCTGTCACCACTGTGTGTGTCAGGGAGTTTGATGTGAGGTTCCGTTTCCTGTGCGATGCTGAGCACTGGCTCTTCTGAGGCCTTGTCTCAGCCTCCTCAGACACACAGAGACCTTCTTACAGCTGAAGGCAGTCTATCAGAAGTAGTAAGGAGGAGTCGGAATCACAGGACATCTCAGAGTTGTGATAAAGTATGCATTGAAGATTTAGTAAGCACTCAGGAAATATCTAAATATCTATTCCTGCAGTGGATGCTTACAATACCAAGCTTATGTAGTACTGTATTCAACAGCTATTGTTTGCGGGCTGTGTTTTAGAGTGTGTCTTATCATCAGCAGCTGTTGTTTGCGGGCTGTGTTTTAGAGTGTGTCTTATCATCAGCAGCTATTGTTTGCGGGCTGTGTTTTAGAGTGTGTCTTATCATCAACAGCTATTGTTTGCGGGCTGTGTTTTAGAGTGTGTCTTATCGGTAAGAACTTAAAATATGTATAAACATTTGCTCACCAAGTGATGTCATTTCCTGTCCTCTGGTTCCTCCTCTTGTCCCTGTAGTACTGAGTCTTGTTACTTACAGTAGTTTCTTTTCTTTGTAGATACTTGTTACTTAAGACACATCAGCTGTCTCTAGATGCCTTTCTGGTTGCTTTGAAGTTCATGCACGTGGAAGACGTGGACATTGATGAGGTCCAGTGCATCCTGGCCAACTTGATATACATGGTGCGTGGGTCTGCCTGTTCTCAGCAGGGCTGTGATGTGGTGCTGACCTCACCAGAAGACCTTTTCTATTTATGAAGGCATTTTCTAGTAGAACTAATTTTTTCCCCAGTAAATACTATTCACAGGGCCTCGTGTGGGTCAGTGCTGAGGGCTATATAACCTGCATTACTGTGTTCTCTGCCATGTGTGACCCCAGGGAAGGGAGTGGTCGTCATCATGACACATGCGATGTGACTGAGACTCAGGTGTAAGCCTCTATCTTTTTCTCTGTCTCAGGGTCACATTAAAGGCTACATCTCCCATCAGCATCAGAAACTGGTCGTCAGCAAGCAAAACCCTTTCCCTCCACTGTCCACAGTGTGCTGACACCCAGGCCCTGCGGATACGGCTGTCCTCTGTCGCTTATGTCTCCCGGTGCTTCCCCGGACCACTGCAGCAGTAGCCAGCACCTGAGGGACTAGCCATGTGCTCTGTTGCCCTAACTCATGCCAGCCTTGCCAAGACCTGGGATTCTTTTCCAAGATGGACAGTCACCCTGCTGCTGGCCTCTGGTGCTTGTGAACTTCTGGGAAGGAGACAGCTGTGCTTCAGTTTTATGTTGTTTATGGAGGCTGTCTTTGTAACATTTTGTAATGTTTTCTTTCTTTTTTTAAAAGGTAATCCACATTTATACAAGTGGTGTGTTCTTTACTGTATGTTAGATAATGCATCTATTTTCATATGCGAAATCTCAGCATGTTGTGAGCTCAAAATGCTGGGTTAGCTCGAGGCTTCTTTTTTAAAAAGTAGAATTTATGAGGTGGAGAGATGGTTCAGTCAAGAACAGCTCCTGCTCTGCCAGAGGACGTGTGTTTGATTCCCAGCACCCACGTGGCAGCTCACAACCGTCTAACCCCAGTTCTAGGGGATCCGTTGCCTTCCTTGGCCTCCATGGGCTCCTGCACACACGTGTACGTAAGCTCACTCAGGCAAACAGGCATACTCACATAAATAAATCTTTGTTTAAGAGAAGCAGAATGTAGTCTGATGTAAATGTTTCAGCTCTCTGCTCATTTTTCTAGCAGTTCTAAAGGCTGTGGGACGAAAACAAGGCCTGGCTGTGGGGCTCTGGTGATGGCCCCGTCCTCTGCCTCTCATCCATCTCCTACAGCCACTGTCCTGCCGGGCCCTCACTCCGCAGCTGCATCTAGCTTAACTGCGTCCAGAGACCCTTCCTCTAGACAGTCAGCCTGGGAGGGGATTCAGCAGAAAGTTCTGGGTGCAGTGCATCCCACAGCACTGGAGATGCTCCAGCTCCTCCTCCTCCCCCTCCTCCCCCTCCCCCTCCCCCTCCCCCTCCTCCTCCCCCCCCCCCTCCCCCTCCTCCTCCTCTTTAATAAATAAATAGTTTATTTATTTAGTTATGTGCACTGGTGTTTTGTCTGCATGTATGCCTGTTTAAGGGGGTCAGATCCTGGAGTTACAGATAGCTGTGAACAACCGTGTGGATACCAGGAAGTGAACCCAGGTTCTCTGGAAGAGCAGCCAGTGCTCTCAACCACTGAGCCGTCTCTCCAGCCCCCATACTCCAACTTCTAAAGAGTGTGCGTTTCCTCTGTGTTATTTTGTTCATTTGTCCACATCATTATCTATGTATTTGTCTGCCTGTCTATCATCTCTCTCTCTCTCTCTCTCTCTCTCTCTCTCTCTCTCTCTCTCTCTCTCTCTCTCTCTCTCTGAGGCTCTGAGGTAGGGTCTTTTTATACACTAGCTGGTCTGGAACTCTATGGAGACCATGCTTCCTCATGATCCTCTTCTTGCCTCTGTCCCCAGACCAAGTGCTTGGGATTACAGGTGTGTGCCCTGGGCCCTGGGTGAGGCTTGTTCCCCTGTTTATGAGAAGTGCACTAAAGAGGGAAAGCTAACTATTTGTTAGTCTCTGCAGAGTTGTTGTAGTCAGAAGCCGTCCCTTTCACAGAAGAGCTGTGGGGTAGCTTACGTGTTCTCCACAGGGCCTGGGGCAGGACTTCCCCTTACCTGGCTACTTCATTAGCATCCTCTTGCAGGATGGCAGAATCACCCATCACTGTGCCGTGAGGCACCAACATCCTGACTTTGCCCAAGTCTTTGCCTGGTCAGGACTTTGTGGCTTTTGGCGTCTGTTCCATGTGATGGGAAATACGATCTTGGGGGTTGGAAGGTGGCTCACTCCTATGGCCGGTGTAGCCTTGGACTCACTGGGCTCAGTGGTGTGTATGTGGACAGCTTGTATTCTCCATGTCGTCATCTCCAGCTGCTGAAGCTGGGCTCCAGAGCAGGGCCAAAAGAAATGGTGCTGTTTGGTATGAATTGCACCACTTCCAGCTTAGCACACTGCCTATGCCCCTACACTGGCTGGAGCAGTATGTCCTTTTGGCCTGCATGTCCCTGGTCATGTCTCGTGACCCCAAAACTACTCTGAACCAGTAGCCCACGGTGTACAGGGAAGCATCTGGCATTGAGTATGGCCCCAGGCAGGGAGAGCTGATGATATCCCTCAAGGCTGAGCCTGCCCTCCTGTGTCCTCTGTGTCCTCTATGGTGTTTCCACCTGCAGAGCTACCATGAAGAACTGACCCAATAAAGTGGTGTCCTTGTAACAGTTCAAATATAGGGGTTGCTATGAGCATCCTGGATCCCATCCTTGTGAGTTGAGAAGCAACAGAATCAGTTTTTCAGGCTGCTCCAGGTAATTTGTTAAACAGTGACATCCCGTCAGAACCTGACTGAAGTGATAAGTAGTTGAACTTGTGGGTTAAAGAAGCAACTCTCCACAGTGTGTGCTTGTGTACCGTCTCTGGTGCCCCGTGTGTGGACTCCTCTCCACAGTGTGTGCTTGTGTACCGTCTCTGGTGCCCCGTGTGTGGACTCCTAGTTTGTGGGCACATGGACCCATACATTATTGTGGCTAGTTTGCATCGATATCAAATACACCCCCTTGCCTAAGGGTACACTGGTTTGGTCTATTATTGTTCTTTTGAGACAGTGCCTTACCCTGCAGCCCAGTCTGTCTTGACACCTGGGACTCCCTACCTCAGCCTCAGTTTACCTGCCTTTTCCTGTCCTTTGTAAATGTCATCACAGCCACACTTCAACTATCCCTCTTAGAGATGAGGGTACTGAGCGAGGCACAGGAAACTGAGGTCTTGCGTAAGCACAGCCTCACCGACTGCAGGGCAGAGCTGAGAGCTGCCGCACTCCTGGAATCCGCTGATTCACACAGTATGTCTAGGTACAGCCTTGTCAGGAGGTGCACGGCTCCCTTCCAGGATTAAGCCTGCTCTCCTTTCCCTAGCAGAATCAGAATGGGGCTACTCTTTTGTCTCACTGGTAACTCTGAGACGCCTCTGTTCCAGAGATGTCTGTGACAGACCAATTGTGACACAACCACGTGTGTTCAATCTCTCTTCACTCAGCTTCCACTCAGTAACTCAGCTGGTTTACAACTGATATTGATTTTATTTCACAAATCCTATTTTTTTTCCTTAAGGCCTCTGTTTAGATAAAAAAAGTACCAAGGAAACTCCCTACTGACTAGCTTTCATAGGGCCAGAAGTTCCAGGCTAGCTGCAGGAACAACAAAGGTAACAAGGGTCTTACCCAGTGCTGGACCCTCATCCACAATACTGACATGCCAGGCAAGATGCGCACACTGGTGCAATCGTGGCCTAACTATTATGGGGTAAATAACTGCTTTCTGGTTGATTTTGAGGCCTGCTTTACAGGGATTCCATGCCTGAGCTTATAATCTCGGCCAAAGGCTTGTGACTGGGGAGGTCATAGGCCTAGAAGCCGCTAGTGTTACTTTGCTAAGTGGTTATGTCAAAAATGGCCTTCTAAATATTTATGCGCGTACCCACAGAGCTGGACTGTTTGCAGCTTTGGTCAGAGAAGCTTCTTCTCACAATGGGCCGCAGTTAATTCGAGGATTCATAGTTAGTCAAAGCGTTGAGAGTAAGGGGCCGAGGGCTCCGTCCTAAGTGGGACATCGTAGTCAACAGGCCCCAACCCCACACCCACACCTCCGCCTCCACCCAGGCTTAGGAAAGCTTGTCAAAGAGAATGGAGAAGTGCATACAGCTGAGACATGGCGTGAAATGGTGCCTTCTGGTCAGACACTCACAGCAGCTGGAGTGACCTGCTCAAGACTGCACAAGATCAAGCCAGACGAGATTCTGACATAGATGGGGGTGTACTCCCTGCCCCACTCCTCACTGGGGAGCTGTTGGCAGTTGATCGCAGCTGGAGAAGGAAAAGTGTGTGGTTTTGAGGGTGCGCCAGAGGATGGCCCACACCATACACACAGAGGCAGTGCTAACTGAGCTTAGAGTGGATTCTCAGAAAAAAAAAAAAAGACAAGTGTGAGGGACACACTGAGGGCAATATAAATGGAGTTGGAGAAGGGAAACGGGGCGTGGGCATGTCCACATTTCATTGTACCTGTGTATGAAATTCTCAAGAGTAAAGAAACATGAAAAGTTCCAAGGAACAAGTGGTCATCTTCCAGTGCTAACTGTGACAGGATTTGACCCTCTGGCAGCCATGTTGTTGGATTTCTGCTACTTCATGATCTGGTTAAACCACATGGAGTATCTCGAGACTGCGGTGAGGAGGAGCACACGTGATTGCCCTGGTGGTGGTGGCGAGCCTAGGATCCCCGTGAGGAACCAGGTGCCCTTGTGTTCGCGGGTCACCACACTTCCCTCCACCCAAGACCCCATCACTACACTGCCCTTCTCACAGCTTGTCCTCGTGGTGACGGTTACATTCAGGATCTGTCCACATTCCTCCCCATCCACTTGTTTGACTGAAAGCATCATCGGTGTGGTAGCCAGGTCTGTGCCATTAAGCAGCCAGCCGCTGAGGAGACCCTCCGTTCTAGGGATGAGAACATGTTCTGCGAAGTCCCTCTCTGGGATACAGGCAGGAATCCCTGAGCTGGGACACTGCAAGGGCTTCTCCAGCTCCAGGAGTGAGACGTCGTTCTCCCCTGACTCCTCGTCATATCGCATGTGCACGTGAGTGTTCTTGATCCCGATCCTCAGGTCAGCATCTGAAATCATGAGCAACCAGCCAGCTTACAACGTTTCGTTTCCAAGAGTGAGCTAGCCACCAGGAACTGATTGCTCAGTGAAACCCTGGCGGGCAGCAGCCGTGTTCCTCCCAGACTTGAGTATGGATCACAGAGTGGGCCAAGCCGACTCGTTTCCTGGATCTCTTCACATTGTCCTCTAAAAAAGTCAAATGTTTATTCTGGAGTACAGGACAGCACGGTTAGGAAACAGGAGATGCTGAAAAGAAACGGCTTCAGGCCCATCTGAACATGCTGCTCGGGGCTGGCTTCTTGGCACATTTGCCTTCTTCAAGCGGGGTCTCAGCTACCAGCTTGTTCACAGAAGTATTTAAGGATAAGCAGTGAGACACCCTCACTTCGAGGCTCGAATTTGCTGTTAAGCACATCCATAGCCGGTTATAGGAACTTTCCAATGGGAGATATGATTGTCTGCGTTTTAGAGATGGAGAATGAAGCTACAGATAAGTCTCGAGATGAGATGGGATTGCAGCCCAAGATAATGGGGAGGTGGGATTTGAACCTGACTCCTCTGGGAGGCGAGATTTGAACCCAGCTCCTCTGGCCCTCAGCCAGCCCTCCATGTCCAGGTGGTAGCTCTACTGCTGGGACTCGTCCCGTACTAAATGCTACGTAGCCCTAGCCTGCTGTAGCCACATTCTACCAGACACGTCTTGGTTGTCTATGCTTGCAGTTTACAGCTGTCACTGTATTACTGATGCTGTTTCCTGTCATGCCTTATAAACAAAATTTCCAGTAGAAGAAAAACATGTCATCCCTCTGTTGGATTGCTTTATTTACGAGAGCTTAGAAAGTTCACGGAAGAGATACTTACTTGCTTTTACACTAATGTTGCTGTACAGTAATGAACACTTCGCTGTTGTTAACACAAAGTCTTCCTGTAGTAACACGCCAGCACAGAAGTCCTCTCCTTCAGAATTTGTTAATCTGACCTTTACAAAAAGAAAATGGCTGTTAGGGGCCAGTGTGACATCAGGGAAGAGTAAAGCTGAGCGGGTGTCCTGGGCACCAGGGACAGTCAGTCAGTGTCCACATCCTACGGTCTCTTCCGTGGTGTCTCCGACGCTGCTGCCAAGGTTAGAGGCCCTTCCTGACAAAGGAAAGTAATGGCTGTTAGACTGTCCCTCCCCCTGGAACAAGGGAAGCAGGCAGAATTGAAGGGCTGGTCCCTAGGGACATTGATCTCTCAGGGACCAGAGCTTTTGTGATTCCTGAATTTGTATGGTGCAAGGCAGCATGGATGCCAGTTTCAGGAGTCATGTGCATGGACGTGTGGGGAGAAACTACTCAAGGCCTGGGAAGCTTACTCTAAAGGGTCAGTGGGGACCGTTTTGGGCTTATGATTGCTCAAAGTAATGTGTTATACCAGCCAGTTGAAAATGTGGCCAAGCATTTGGTATACACAGCAGGGTCTTGTCTCTGTAGGGGGAGCACTGCACCGGCCTTCCCCAGCAAAGCCTCAAAGCAAGGTACAATCGCATTAAGCTGTTTCCAGGCATCTTACTCTGTTTCAGAGCATCACTGAAACGTATTTACAGAGCACAAAGCTTCCTGTAAATAATAAGTTACAGTTTACAAGCTCTGCAACTCATTAGTAGTCACCAGGCAGAAAAAAAGCACCCCACGATCCATGTTCCGTACTGAGGAGGAAAGTCAGCCAAGCTGACTCAGAACCAACTGTTAGGTGTGGGGACAGTGTAGGGCCGATAAAGCAGCGACCACTATTCCTGAAGCTCAAATAACTAAGTAGAGAGAAAACCCAAGTTAAATTTAGTGATGGACAAGGGCTGGAGAATTGGTTCAGTGGTTAAGAGCACTGACTGGCCGGGCGGTGGTGGCTCACGCCTTTAATCCCAGCACTTGGGAGGCAGAGGCAAGCGAATTTCTGAGTTCGAGGCCAGCCTGGTCTACAGAGTGAGTTCCAGGACAGCCAGGGCTACACAGAGAAACCCTGTCTCGAAAAACCAAAAAAAAAAAGCGCTGACTGCTCTTCCAGAGGTCTTGAGTTCAATTCCCAGCAACCACATGGAAGCTCACAACCATCTGTAATGGGATCTGATGCCCTCTTCTAGTGTGTCTGAAGACAGCGACAACGTACTCAGGTAAAATAGAATAATAAATCTTTAAAAAAGAAAGTGTAGGTGATGGATAGAGTACAGGCTGTGGATTACCATCAGATTAGATGCTGTAAAAGGAAAGAGTCCTGACCTTGAAGATGGCAGTCGACGTGATTCAGATTGAGACAGAGAGGAACCTGGAAGCTTACCCACCCACACTGTCTGCCTCACCCCACACTGTCTGCCTCACCCCACAGTGTGTCCACACACAGCCACACTGTGTCCACACCCACCCACACTGTGTCCACACACACACACTGAGTCCACACACACACATACATTGTGTCCACACACACACACTGTGTCCACGCATACCCACACTGTGTCCACACACACACACACACACAC